TTTGAAAAGGTAAGGTAATTTATTAAAACAAGAACCAGTATAAAGGAGTCTAGGCCATTAGAGGCTGCCTAGAGCCACCACAAATTACAGATACATCCAGTTCTGAGATCTAAACAACAGACTCAAATCTGATTTTTAAATACCTCTGTTGCCGACACCCAGGACAGAAGTTTACCCACAGCTTTCTGCACCATTTCCTCTGAAGATTTAGCTTTGCCCTGGAAAATTCTGTTATTTCTTTCAATCCAGATAGTCCAAAGCACAGCAGCTGGGATAGTCTTCCAAACCAAGATACCTTTCTTGCTGAGACCCTCAATCTGCCAACACAACAGCAGATCCTTCACAGAATTTGGCATTACCCAGCTGATTTCCAAAGCTTGAAGAAAATGCCTCCAAATATAATTCGAGACTGGGCAATGTAAGGCCAGATGTTCAGTAGTTTCTACTACCCACCACATAAGCCACATGACATGTCCGAAATCTGTATGCCACGTTTCACTAGATTAACTTTGGATAGACATTTATTTAAAACCATTGTCCAGAGCAAAAACTTCACTTTAGAAGGACTGATTGAGCTCAAAATCTGCCTAGCCGGAACGTTTTCCTGACCTGAACTTATCAACTTACTGAACATAGACTTTACAGAAAACCTGCCATCAGCTTCCCATTTCCATCTCCAAGCATCCTCCATGTTTGGGTCAATCCTCTGGTTCTGGAGCAGGTCCAACAGAAATTATCAAGATGGATTGGAAACCTCCAGAGCCAAATAAATTGAAGCCGGACTTTGATGGTAAATATTTTGGTAACTGGGGAGGGCAGGTATAGGGGGAGTTTTTAGAAATCATCATGGAGAAATTGCAGCTTTGTTCATAGGACCAATTGGCTATGGAGACTCGGTTCAGGCAGAAATAATGTCACTCTTACAAGGCTCGAAATTAGCAGTACAGTTAGAACCTAGAGCTGGAAGTAGAAGGGGACATAGTATTGGTCATCTCTTTGGCTAAGCAAGTAAACTCAGCACCCTGGAAGTATAGATTTGCTTTTAGGGAGATTACCTTCTTGCAAAGAGTTTTAACTCTAAATTTGGGTGGGTTAAAAGAACAGCAAATGGATTGGCAGATACTCTAGCAAAACAGGGAGTTGATAGGCCTACTTTATTTTGGGTAAAACTATAGCTGGTTGTAGCAAAACAGAGAGATGATGATCCTTGTAATCTGGGACAAATTGTATATTGCTGTTCTTTGGACTGCAGAGTAGCTAAAGCACTTGTAATCTGTTTTTAAAATTAGTAAATAAAATCTCTTTGCTGATAAAAAAAAAGTTGTAAGCAAATATAGTTCACTGGAAAAGCTGGGCAGAGGTCGCCTCCACAACCTCCAAAAAGAGTAGTGTAAAAGCTGAATGGGAACCTCCTCCATAAGGAATGGTTAAACTGAACTTTGACGGGAGTAGTCAAGGTAATCCAGGGCCCTCAGGCATGGGAGCGGTTTTGAGAGATAATGATAGTAACATCTTATCCCTATACTCTGGATCAGTGGGTGTTGGTGACTCTACAAGGGCTGAGATATTGGCTGCAGTACAAGGAATACAGGATGCAAACCAACTTGGAGTGGAACACTTGATAGTTGAGGGGGACTCTAAGGTGGTAGTAGGTAGGCTGTCAGATTCGGATACGGTTTTCTGGGGTTACAGGGATCTTCTCAAGAAAGTTAAGTGGCTGACAAGAAACATGACAATAAGCTTTCAGTGGGTTAGCAGATCAGCAAATGCTATGACTGATTCCTTGGCTAAACAAGGGGCTTCAAGGGGTGATTTGTTTTGGGCTACTTCATAAGTGTATTTCTGTTAAGAGTGTGCTTATATTCTCTTTCCTAAGGGGAGGTAACATCTCGTGCCTCCTCTTAGGGTGTCTATACACCTTTTCTATCTTATTAATAAAATTATCTTTCATTTATCAAAAAAAAAAAAAATATTCACTGTCTCAATTGAGGTTGAAAGAGTGATATTTGCTTAGTATTAGTGATGAATATGACTGGTTTATCATGAAAACATGACAAAGAATTGAGATAGTCTCCAACACTGCCCCTTGTTCCTATTTGCCAGGGAAAATAATAGAAATATTATATTGCTATTCTTGGAATTAGTGAGTCGGGCAGCTTGTTTAGGAATTAGGACTTTACCAGTGTTGCAACGGCTTGAGTGTGAGGCACTCATCCATTGTTTGAGTCTCAGTACACCTAGACCACAAAAAACCCAAAGGATGCTGCCATTGAACTGGTTGATTAAAAAACAGGGAAAGTAATAGAAATATTATATTACTATTTCTGGAATTGGTGAGATTGGGCAGTTTGTTTAGGACTTAAATGGTATTTTTAAAACCAACATGGAAGCAAGGTTTAAAATGTCGATGTCGATGGAAATGTCGCTTACCAAAATATAGGACATATGTCGGAAATGTTGGAAATGTTGGGGGAAATATTGTAAAAATTAGAGACATTGTGGAAATATGCAATGATATTTTGTAAAATGATAAAAGCATTAATACATATTTCTAGACTATTATCTTATTCCCAACCATTATATAAAGCTAAGAAACTAAGATCAATAACAAATTAGTAAATGACGATTTACTGAT